GCTGGTTTCATGCACCTTCTCCCTGAGGCGGAGGAGGGGCTGGAGAGCCTTAGCGCCGAGTGGCAATTCGAGGTATGATGTCTCTTGTGCTGCCGCTGCTGTTGTGCTGTGCTGCTTTGGTCGTCGAAGGATTGTGCCTGGAGAATTTCGGCAAGTACATGGCGCGTACCACGTTCGTTCCAACATTCCAGCACTGTTGCTGTATGTGCCAAGAAGGAGCTTGCAGAGAGGTAAATGGAGTGCCGTGAGATGTTTCTTCTGCTGTTGTCGTCGTTGTTGTTGCTATTGTTGTATTTTGTTGTTGTTGTTGTTGTTGTTGCTGCTGCTGCTGCTGGTGTTGTTGTCGCTGTCGGAGTTGGAGCTGTCGCCGCCCTTCTGCTGTTGATTTTTTTTCTCGCGGTTGGAGGGTCGCACGCGAGTGTTTGTTGCAGATAGAGTATGTCTCGGAAGGACGAAAATCTCGCCCCTTGGCGTCAAGGTTTGTCCCTTTGTCGGTTGAAAGCAAACCCCGCCGTTTTCTGCCTGTGGTGCCGGACGATGCATACCAGGACCCCGAGAGAAGAAGCAACCTTGCCCTCTCCACGCCACACCGCTGTGCACTTAAACCCCACAACAACCTGTCGCCACCGCCTTCTGTTCCAACTCCGCGATGACGACACCGGCGTCCAAGCAGCTGGCGCCCTTCTTCGCGTCGCTAGCGTTCATCCTCATGTTCCTCCTGGAGGAGCTCGTGTCCCAAGTGTCGAGCTCGTTCAACCCCTACTCGTGCACCCCTGGCTACGATAGCGCTCTCCACCACCACCAGGGGCACCGCCACGAGTTTTCTAACCCCTGCACGCCCGCTGGCAAGGTGTGTGGGAGGGGGGGGGGCGCTACTCTTATGTTTTGCATGCCTTCGCGGTTAGACCATTGACAACGTGCCTTCCTTCTGCTTTTCCAGCTCAGTCGTACACATGTCTCTCTCCTTGTCGTACGACGGACATTCCGCAACTACATTAACCCGGTCTTCGGAGGGGGGGGGGAGGGGGGGGAAACCTAATTGTGCCTGCCCGAATCCTTAAAACATTTACCTCCCCTCCCCACAAAAACCGGGACGGAACACGCGGGGGTTCCCCCCGAACCGGGGGGGGGGGGGGGGGGGGGACCCCAAACCGGGGCGCCCGAATCCTTTTTAACAAAAGGGGGGGGGGGGGGGGGGAGAAACCCGAAAAAACCCCCCCCCCTTTTTTTTCCCCCCCCCCCCCCCAAAGGGGGGGGGGGGGAAATA